AAATGTGAAAAATAAACTGTTCTGGCATCATCAGCTCAGGTTTTGCAACCTTATAATAGAACAGAAATACAGGTAAGGTAGTTCTTCAAACAATCACTACCCTGCAGCTGAGATGCAGTAACTTGATGGTATAATTCCACTTGTCTGGTGCAGAGCATTGTCTTCAGTAATTGGAGTGAGCGTGGACTTTATGCTGAAATGGATTAGGAACATTTATACTGTCAATTATTGTGTCCCAGTCACAGGGCAGTAGTGAACAGATTTTGAATGGCAACTTTTCTTTAGACCAAGCTGTTTGTGAAGCTGCTTCATGAGTAAACATCTGCCTGTGGTTGCAGTCTCTCTAGCCAGCCTAATTAATTAACCCCCTGTAACTGGGAAAGGTGGCAAAGTCAGTGTTAATGAAATTCTTCAAAAACTCAAGGCAGCCAGCCCTAAAGCAAACGTCTGCCAGCTCTCTGTCCACATCTCGCTGTGGTCTGTTTAGGCCACATGCCACACACCATACTGTGTCTAGCAAAGTTTTCCGAGGCTTCAAGGAAGCTTAGGAAAAAGTGACTTCAGCCAGCCTATTCCATGGAAATTTGAAAGACAGCAAACTCTGTTCATTGTACAGACCCTTTTGAACTGCCTCAGCAAATCAGGAAATAAACCCAGGAACATAACAGGAATTGTTTGTTTGTTTTTTTTTTCCTTATTTTGTGAAAAGACACAAGAACTTTCTTTCCCTTCACCACTTGCTATTTTCTTGCATGTCAAACCAGCAGTGTCCTCATCCAAAACAGGGCCCTCCAGGCGGATCATCCTCTTAAGTCATTTACCCAGTACCCCAGAGGCTGAGGACCTGGTGTAGGCAATGCTGCAGCAGCTCAGCTGGCTCCAGTGTTGTCCCCCTTGAGCCCTCAGTACAGGACACGTGCTGGGGAGCTGGCAGGGTGCAGCTCTTCCCAGAGCTATTTGGGAATTTGCTGATGGGTTTTCTAACAAGAAGATGCCAGATCATCAAATCTGTTCCTGGGGTTAATCATAGTCACATTTTTAAAGAAATCTCACATTCAAGTTTAAGTTTCCAAACTGTTTGTTTGAAACTTTGCCTATTTTTTTTAGAAAAAAAAAAGTTTAGCTTCGAACTGTGTGAGACAATATCCATCTGGCCTCTTTCAACCAATCTAATCTGGTTCTCCCTTTCTCCTATAACTATCGACTCTGGAATTTTTCAAGAGTTAAAGTTTGCAGCCTGACTGATGACAGGAAAAAACATTCAAAGGCTTTCCTAGGATGTGTAAAAAAAACCACCACCACAACAACACCCTCCCTGCTCAGCTCTTGCCAGCGTGCTGCATTGCTTCAGTTCCCAGCCTACAGAGGAGCTATCTTAATGCTTTTTCTTCCTGGGGCTTGATGGGAGGATAGCATGTCCAAGGCTAGAGTCACCATGGATAATGAAATTACTTTTGTGAATGTTGCAGTCTCAGAAAAGACCTAACAGAGCTTCTTCTGTTTGCTTTCACTAAGGGCAAGATTTTATGAAGGCTCTGACCTAGTGGCAGACTCTGGTGTGACTATAGACACCACGATGCGTGGAGGACGGCTTGGAGTTTTCTGCTTCTCTCAGGAAAACATTATTTGGTCCAACCTGAAATACCGCTGCAATGGTAACGTTGCTCTTATGTCATTTTAGCTAACAACTAGCAAGTGACCATGAAGAGCTGGTAGTGTGGCTGTTGGATTGAGCCGTTTTGCATCCTTTCCTTTGCTTTTCATTTACAAGTTATTCACAGCTGTGAAATGCCTCCCCTGACACCAGCATCACGCTGCAGCCCAGCCAGACGGGAACTAACACCTCACAACCACTCCTCCCAGAGCAGTCACTCTGCTGCAGAGATTGTGCCAACTAAGTAGTATAGCTGTCATCAGAGAATTAGAAACATTTAAAACCAGCCAACCATGAGAGTTGTACACGGACAATATACTGAGGCCATCATGTATGTAGGATGCCTTCAGCTCTGAATACAAGGTGAAATAAACCTGGAGAGCCAGTGGGATCCGACACCAGGCGTCAGTGTCACTCATGCACTTCCTGGTAGCTCCTGTCTGTGGCAGGACAAGATTATAAGATGCCCTTCCTCCCACGGAGGAATGCTTGGACTGTCTGGGAACGTGCTGGCTGACTCCTCTTGGGGTGAGAGCCTCACAGCTTAGCCCTGATCACCCATTAAATGGAATAACTCAAACCTGGTCACTCACACAGAAGCTGTTAATGTTGTTATTTCTGCCCTGGCAGCAGTTCAGCTAGCTTGAGATGGAGTTGGAGGGACAGTCCTCCCTCCTCTCAGCACCAACCCCTACCTGAGGAATGCAGCCTTAGGAAAATAAGTGACTAGTCATGTTGGAATAGTTTCCTTGTCTGCTTTCTGTGGATTCCAGAAGCCCAGCTCAGTCTGCAGTGGACCCAGCCTGGACCCAGCCACTGCATGGCCAGACCTTGGTGTCATGGCTTGTTCTGGTGATGGATGCTGGTTCTTAGGCACTCAGTACGCCTCGGCTGGCGCTTGCAGGTCATGGTTAAACAGGGGAACTCCTAGACAGTGGTGCTTATAATTAAAAATTACTTGATAAGAGTCTCAAACAGTACGTGGTTTCCCAGAAAGCATGTTTCAAAGCTGCCACTGAAGTCGCAGATACTTTTCTGGCAGTGCGCAGGCAGTGGCTTTGCTGCAGGCATTGCAGCAAGTCAATGAAACCCACTCAGAGAAGTCTCTGGAGTCCGCAGGTATCCCTGCTTTTATTTCCGACAAGTTCCTACATTTGCAGAAAAAGCTTAAAAAGAGATTTCAAGGCTCAGAAAAAGAAGTGATCAACAAAAAGCAAAGGCCATACCCCTTTTTTTCTATATACTGTGTGTATTTATATTCTTCCTTTTCTGAGTTTGGAGTTAACTTGTCCTGCATCAGGGTGGAAATAATCAGCGTAAAGTTGAGGTCAGACAGTTGAGCTTCATTGCTATGGCTCCATCTTTGGCTGCAGCCTTAGCTCTACGGTTAGCTCTGTGGCTCTCCAGATAAACTGTTCTGAGATCTGGCAAAGGCACACAGCAAACTCAATGCTTCAGACCGATCTGCAGTCAGCCTTATAACACTGACCCATCTCTGGGTCCCTTTGCCAGTTCTCAAGCTTTTAAACCAGTTGCAATTGGTCCTTGGGTTAATGTTTCTGTCCCTTCTTGTGGCGTGGGAAACCATCACAGGGAAGTTCAGTTAGTACATGAGAAACAGAAACGCTGGCGCTACAAACGTGTCTGGGGTGCAGAGGAGGACAACCACTTTTTCTGCCTTTCTGGTCAGTGTTTCTAAGTAAAAATGTAAGAGTGGAAGCCCAAAGCTTTCTGTTGGAAATGTGATTTGAAGATTCATAATTATGGGCTTGCACTGCAGCGCATCACTGTCTTGTTAGCCTCTCTGTGTTTCTCAGTGGTACATAGCTAAAACTGAAAACATTCCCAGTTTGTTCTTAATGTGTAAATAGAAGAGAAGGCATGTTACCTAAAAAAGACTACGTGGGTAATTCATTAAGTGCTCCTTGATTTTGTCAGAAGAGACTGAACTTTTGCATATTTTCCTGTTTACAGACACCATCCCAGAGGACTTTCAAGAATTTCAAGCTCAGCAGTTTGGCGTTGGGGATATTTAAAAAGTAAACGCAAACTAACACTGCTATTGCAAACAATAAAACAATATATTTTAAATCTTTATATGATTGTTGTAAGCGTGCGCACCACAGCTTGTTCTTATTGATGTGACTATGTCAGACTTTTTTTTGTATAAAAGTGAAAATAAAAAGGAGACAAAATAGATTGAGGCTTCGCTTGTTTTCAAATTTGCCGTTAAATCTAGGGACCAGCATGTAATGGAGTGACACTTGCTTAAAACATTCTGAGGAAAAGTTTGAATCTATCACCGTTTTGGATTCAGTATTAAACAGGGTGGGAAAGAAAACACAATTTTGTCTATCGTCTGGAATGTGTTGAAAACAACAGGTTGCATCTAGGTATGAAGAGGTTAGGAGCTGCCTGGCCAAGCCAAGGGCTTCTTAATACCTTTCATGTCCTGCTAGGAAAAAGTTTTGTCTCCTTTAGAGCAGCTAACTCCTTTGGAGACTTAGTTACCTTTGGCAGACCTCCTCTAAGAACTCTGTTAGACCTCCCTGTCCTCCCACGCCCATGAAACTATGAGTAACACTATCATATCCTGTAAAAGCAAAAAAAGCTGACTGCAGGGCATTGTAGTCACATCTTATGACTTGCATGGGACTAAAACCAAAAAAAGACATAGGGAGATAAATGCAGAATCACCTACAGAGAGAACATAATCCTACCTTTCACATACACAAAGCCAGGCTTTGCTCTGCTGTCCTCACGCAGAGCTGAGCTCTCTCAGCAGGTACTGCCATCTTTCTTACAAAAATAAGTCACCAAGTTAAAAACCCACAATACTGAACTAAGTGCTAGTAACCATTAGGAAAGGACTAGGAAAAAAAAAAAATTTATCACAATACACTCTGTAACTTGAAGCATAGAAAGGTGTTGGATGCTGTGTACATTTCTACTACATTCTTTTCCAAAATGGAGCTAGGATAGGAAGGGAGGACAAGCTCCAGGGACAGCTGAAAAGAAGGGTATTGCAGGCTACAAGATAATTTTTTTAAAAAAAGGACAATGGAAAACAGTACTTCAGCCTGGGAGAAGAGAGAGGGAGGAAGTACACAGCGGGGAGATACAGTGAGGGTTTTAAAAATCAGAAGTAGCCCTGGCCATAGCTCTTTTCCTGCACAAGAATACAGAGGAAATGTTGGGTTAAGTTATCAGGTGAGAATATCAAAACAAAAAGAAGTTTCCTGTTCTCAGTTCAATAAAAATACCCTTAAGGTTTATGGCACTGTCAAAGGTTTGGATTACAAGAAGAGTTTTCACCATGGGCTTGTCCACCATTGCCAAGGCTTCTGGGAGTGGTGCAGCCCTGGGACCTGTCCCACAAGTGATCCCAGAGTCCCACAGCAAAGAGCATGATGCAGGAGCATTCCTCTGGTACAGCACTTCATCATGATAAATCCTTCAGTTTCAGTTGTCCTTTCCCCTTGGCCTCTCCAAACCCGACTTCACTCATCAGGTTTGCAAGAGGAGATTGAAAGGCTCCAAGTTACTTCGGAGCAACACAGAGGGTATTGTCAAATTATGCATAAAAAGTGAGAAAAAACATCTTTTTCTAGCTGAACATAGGCTGTAACTGCAGCATCGTTTATTTATGAACGCAGACACAGACCATAAAGAAAATTTATGTCTTCCTTATCATGTATTTGCATTTCACTGGACGGAGCCTGTCCTCCAGGCAGAAATTGTCTCTGAATAGTTTGGGTGCAATCCAGGCAGAAGTGGTACCACTTGTGCACACCATGAGTGCACCCCAGCCGGGTCACACCTGGCCTGAAGTGCATACATTTCGCACAAGCGGTCTCCTCACAGTGGAAGCAACAGACCTGGCCCACTCTGACCTGCCTGCAGCATGTGCTGGTCAGAGCACGACAGCACACATCAGCTCCATCAGAAAACAAGATGACCACAGCCAGCCCCTAATCCTCTGCCCAGCCGTCCCGCCTGTGACCAGAGGCTCTATTCCTGCTACCGCAGCATTTGCACTAGCCATTTGCACACCTCTGTCTCCTTTGAGCTTGCCAGTTTTCAGGCTCTCTTCCAGCCTACGCCACAGCCGTTGGCCACTGGAGGCTGGAAGATGAGATACAGGCTCTGGTTCTTGTGCTGTCAAAGGTAATTGCATGAAGCTGTGAGGTCGTAACTTCCCCCTACAGAAAACATACCGGCTTTTTCCCATCCAGAACTTTTCTTTTGCTTCAAAAAGTGCTGTTGGGACCTTACAATGAGATGCTGGAGCTCACTACACCTGTCATGTTGACACACCATCTGCTGGGTAGTCTGCAAGGTCAGCAATCACAAACTCTGGCTGTTGCAGACAAAGATTTGCCCCAGGGTCATAGTTCAGGCTTGGGAAACCTCCTACCCCTCATGTTTCTAGCAGAGACTGTCCAGTTCCTGTATATAAGCATTTAAACAAGCTCCTCTTGCACCACCACCTCTTTCTGGACTATTGTGCAATGCAGACATAGCTCCATGTGTGGCCTTTGGCAAGCAAAGACACTGCAATCCCGTATCTTTAAAACTGAGCGTGTAGTTCTGTCTAGCCCCCACCGCCTGAGCAGCTGGGCTGCACTCAGCTGGAGCAGCAGCTGCAGCTCTTTTGAAGTTCAGAGCCTTGGGGCTACTGTGCACCAGGTTCTAATGTCTCACCAAAGGTCAGCTCTTTCCCGAGTGCTGCAAGCACCATGACAGGTCGAATGCTTCTGTAGAATAGAATAGAATAGAATAGAATAGAATAGAATAGAATAGAATAGAATAGAATAGAATAGAATAGAATAGAATAGAATAGAACAGAACAGAATAGAACAGAACAATGTCGGTTGGAATAGTCCTACAATGACCGTCTAGTCCAACTGCCTGATCACTTCAGGGCTGACCAAAAGTTAACACATATTATTGAAGGCATTGTTCAAAGGCCTCTTAAACAGCGACAGGCTTGGGGCATTGACCACCTCTCTAGGAAGCCTGTTCCAGTGTTTGACCACTTGGGGCATCGACCACCTCTCTAGGAAGCCTGTTCTAGTGTTTGACCACCCTCTTGGTAAAGAAATGCTTC